TATGAATAAAACTATACATACTGATTATGTTGAAAAAATAATGTACCTATTAGTTTTATTAAAAACAATTTTTTTAAATGAACCTATTTTCTCTCTCCAAATAACGTACCTATTTTTCCTCTCCAAATAATGTACCTATACACATTTACAGGTATATTGTAAAATAATTTACATGTGGGTAAATAATGTACCTATATTTAATATAAATTATTGTGTACCTATTTTTAATTATGAAAAATATATGCAATTACAAAGTAACTGACTTTTTTTTTTTTTTGGTAAATAATATACCTATATTTTATATGTATATTTATATTATATTTTTCATAGGTACATTATTGGATATGTAATTTACAGATTTTTTTTGTTTGTTTGCAATTTTAGTGGGCGAGATGTGAGAGGGAATGACAACTAAAAGAAATGGGGTGATTGATATGCTATTAATAGGGAGTATATTAATTACAATTATGGCAGTTAATGAAATGCTTGAAATAAAATTATAAATAAAATATGAAGTTTAGTGGCAACGATGTAAAAACATAGAAATACTACGACCTCTTATATCCTCCTAGTCATTTAAATTTGAAATTGGGTTTTACCTAAAGATTTATAGAGTGATGGGTATATGTCTAGGAAATAGAAAATATAGGGGTCTATATTGGACAAGCCCTTTAGTTTATAATTACCATGGATACATTTTAGAAAGTAAATTCTTACACTAGTAATTTTATGCTCTGAAATTCAAGATTCTTTTATCCCCAAAATGTTGGTGGATCCCTATTTTTTGTTGTTGTATTTATGAGTACCCGCAATATTTGTCATAAATAAAATACATTTTTTATTCTTGCCTAATGGACTAATAGTTGGAAATCATTAGAATGGGAGGTACCGGAAAGAATTTAAATTCTCACTCCCCAATATCACTCGTATAAATAAAAAAATTGAAGAAATATCTCTATCCTAATTAGCTAAAGTGGTATTTTAGCCCTGAACCCTAAAATAACATGAAAAAAATTGTATATTCAAAGAGTATAGCCGGGCGGCTATACGGGTAAAATATATTATTTTAAAGGTATGGCCGGTCGGCTCTACGGTTTGAATATATTGGAATATTTTAAATGTATAGCCGCGCGGCTATACTCTTTAAATTTATTTCCAAACAAACACGAAGCTTGCACTCACAGTGACAGCCATTTCGTTTCTCTATAAGCGCTTCCAAGCTTCAAAGACTCGATATTGAGTCTGTCTCTCTCTCAACTAAAGCTTCGAAATTTTTTCTTTCTTTTCGGCTGCGGTGTTGATTGGATTGGATTGGACACTCTCTATGAAAACCATCAAATGTCGTTCAGCTATTGAAATCTCCACTAAGATAACAACTCTGATGCTATAAGTAGTTAGGCAGCGTCTAGGCGGCGCCTAGGCGGATCTAGGCGGCCTGGGAGGTTCTAGGCGGCCTGGGCGGGTGTGAGAATCCTTTTTTTTCCAAATGCAGACAGACGAAGCTTGCACTCGCAGAGGAATCTGGTGCACGAGTGAAATGAAGAGACAGAGAAACGAACACGAAGCTTGCACTCGCAGTCCAATCTTCAAAATTCAAATACTCGGTCTTGAGCCTCTCTCTCAACTCAAGCTTGGATTTTTTTTCTTCGGTTTCGGCTGCTGCATTGATTCGATTTTTTGTGTGCTTTTCTGTTATTGAAGTTGGCAACGTCAGATGAACATCCAAGGCAGTTTCTTAGTATACCAAAAGAAGCCCAGCAGATGGTTCTTTAACCTGAGGCACACCTTGCAGTTTGTCATTGGATTACACCATGCCGGTCTGAATGACAAAGATAGATCTCTGGTTGAGGAACAAGATTCAGGCATTTCTGTTTTACCTCAATAAGCATGAGTCTTTCCTGAAAAAACACATTAGGAAAAGAGAATATAAAAATATCATTTTCTTAATCAATATACTGATTAGGCATATGTATTAAATTATAGGTATTGGTTTGTACCAGCACGTTGGCATGGGGTGTAAACCTTCTAGGTCATCATCTGGTCATTATTAAGGTAAGGCAAAATTTGTGCGCTACCTTTTTCATTTGGTTCCTATATTCACAAAGGTTTCTAGCAGGAGTATATTGCAGCAGCTGTTCTTCAGAACAAATTTACATCGGTGTTGATTCTCTTGCAGTTGCAGGGAACAGAATATTATGATGGGAAAACAAAGAGATATGTTGATTTTCCAATATCAATCACAGATATATTGCAAATGATGGTTTTGGTCACACGTGACTATATAGAATAAAAAAGGGAAAGAAATAAATATATATGTGAATCAGGTTACATGTTTTTCTCCCTTTATATTCAACAGTTGCTCAGATTCTACAAGAAAGATGGGAGTATATGTCCATCACAATCCGCCCGCGCCTAAAGATCAACAAAAACACGAATCATATTACTCTCTGAATTTGAATATTTGCCTCAAATACTAGGAATCAGGTTGTTTGGGGTTTTGAATATCAGAAAATCAAATAAAGTCAATGGATGAAGTCTTGCAGTCCTAAATCTAATCAATAAACCATTTTCCTTTTTATTTTTTCAATACTCTACACCTATCTTTTTTTGCTGTTAAAGTTCAGAACGCCCATCATTTGCATCGCTGCTGTGACAATGATCCTCTTGTACTTAAATGTGGTGAAGACACAAGTTAAAAGCCTTTAAATGTGCCCTTAGTGTGCAGGTATTCTTCTTAGTAGTTACAATTCTGACTTCTTAGTAGTAGTACTTGCCTAGAATAAAAGAGTGCTAGTGTGAATTGGGCATTCTGCCTTGTTTATATTATTACATTCGACAGCTAGCATATCAGTTGATTAGTTAGAGATGTTAATCGGGGATGCTGAGCCCCCTTGAATGTTGTTAGTCCATGCCTCTTTCCTGTATTGTTTACCTTGTTTTGTTTTGTTTTTTCCTTTGTCCTCCAAGAGAAGCTCTTCTTTTGTGTTTTTCCTTTCCACAGTACATTACCCTAAAAAAATATAGGGCCATTTCAGCAGGACTCAAACCTTCAGCTTCTGGGTATGGTATATTTAATGAGATGCTTCTTCTCATCTAACACGTTGTTTGAAATCTCATTTAGAATAGTTCGTATATATATATATCAATGCCATATGACCTTTGATAACTTCAATTTATTTCAAAACTCCTCTTCGTTGTCTCATTAGAATGTTTTGTATCCAATTTTTCATATGCAGAGAATATACTGATGTATCTCAAAGTAGGAGCAGGGTTGTCAAGTGCAATGAGAAAAAAGTTGTAATTGGGTTCAATTCATAATTACGATGGACACATTGTAGAAAGTAAATTCTTATACAAGCAATTTTATACTATGAAATTCAATCCCTATTTGGTTGTTGTATTTATGGGTTTAACCGGTATTATTTCTCATAAATAAAATCCGTTTTTTATTCTTGCACAAGGGACTAATAGCCGGAAATCATTAGAATGGGAGGTATCGGAAAGAATTTAAATTCTCATTCCCCAAATATCGGTTGTATAAATAAAATAATTGAAGAAATAACTCTAGCCCAATTAGCTAAAGTGGTATTTTAGCCCTCAACCCTAAAATAATATGACACAATTGTATATTTAAAGAGTATAGCCGTTCGGCTATACTATCAAATGTCATTCAACTATTGAAATCTCCACTATGATAACAACTCTGATGCTATAAAATCTTAAAATCCTTAGAAGAAACTCTGTGATAATCGTTTTTCCATTTAAACAAACAAAAAAAAATTGCAAAATCAGAAACATACGTAAATTGCACGCCATGGCAGCCACGGATAGAGACTCAAACTCGTAGTTAGGCGGTCTGGGCGGAGCTAGGCGGCCCCTAGGCGGTCTGGGCGGATCTAGGCGGCCCCTAGGCGGTTTGGGCGGAGCTAGGCGGCCCCTAGGCGGTATGGGAGGATCTAGGCGGCCCCTAGGCGGTCTGGGCGGAGCTAGGCGGCCGCTAGGCGGTCTGGGCTGATCTAGGCGGCCGCTAGGCGGTCTGGGCGGATCTAGGCGGCCTGCGCAGGTCTAGGCGGGTCTGCGTTGGTGTTGAGGTATGCTGCTCTCATAAACCAGAAGTGCCATGTGAAGAACAAGGATATTAGGAAGTTTCTTGATGGGATTTTTGTGAGTGAGAAGAGGACGATAGCTGAAGAGGAGTGTGTAGAAATTTAGGAAGGAATAGAAAATTTGGGAATGGCTCACTAATTGTGATGCCTGTATTCATTCATCTTTATATGATATTACAGTTGACGTTGGCCTAAGTATATATGGAAAGCTAAGGTTAATAAGGTAATACAAGATTTACACAATCATAGATTTAAACTAATACTAATATTGAGGGAGAGATTGTAGCACGACATCATGAATCCTGATTTGCAGAGGATTGAGCAATCATAGTAGCCGGGGGAGAGATGTGAGGTTGTGATTTGGGCTGATTGACTCTCGTCAGAGTGATTAGATTTTTGGGATTTGTGCTTGTTAGAGTGTTTTTTCTGATTTTGAGTTTTTCATCTTTACTCTGTTTTTTTAATCTTGGATGGAAATTTTGATGAGCAAGTGTTACTATATTTTGGGGTTCTATTGCCAAACATAAATTGTGGAATTCCGGGATTATTTTATGCAGGTTATTGGTTTTTAAAGTGAGAAATGTGATGGCAAACCTTTCATTTGCACAATCTTCAGTTTTTAAATGTTTGTCTTTGAGCCAAGATCTGGAAGAACACCTCACTTACACTAAAAATAATTTCCACTAATAAAAATGCCCCAAAAATGGTTCTTTATAGTTGCACCATCAAGTAAGTTAAACCCTGGAAAAAGTAAGGTGTCATGCCTTTTTAGAATTGGTAAACTGATTGTGAAGTCCACTAAAAACCCAACCCATTAAAACTTGAAGCAGTGATCCCGATTTTAAATCAGTCCAAGAGTTTGCTATGCTGATGTAATTTGGACCAGAAAACAACATGGAGACTCAAAAGTATCCTGTTGTCCCTGGGTATGTGGACTGATTCTATAACAGATGAATTAAGTAACCCTGAATTTATTCTCCTTCTAATTAAAGTCATCTGTTCTGTTTGTGATTATTTGGAACCAGGCATGAGATTGCAGGCATTGTAAAAGAGGTGGGTTCCAATGTTCAGCGCTTCAAAGTTGGTGACCATATGGGAGTGGGAACTCATGTCAACTCATGCAGAGATTGTGAGTACTGCAACGACAGATTTAATGGTGTTGGTGTTGATGGTACAATCGCAAAAGGAGGATACTCCAGTCATATAGTTGTCCATGAAGGGTATGAATTGAACTACCTTTTTGCCCTCTCCTCAAATTTCACATCTAAATGGCCTGTATTACAGGTACTGCTTCAACATACCAGAAAACTATCCATTGGCTTCGGCAGCTCCTCTACTTTGTGCTGGAATTACTGTTTATGCTTCGATGGTACGCCACAAGATGAACCAACATGGTAAATTCTAGGGTGATTGGCCTTGGTGGCCTAGGTCACATGGCAGTGAAATTTGGCAAAAGGCATTTGGTTTGAATGTAACAATTTTCAGCACTAGCATATCCAAGAAAGAGAAAGCTTTAAGTCAGCTGGGTGCAGATAACTTTGTGGTCTCATCTGACAGAAATCAGATGAAGGTAAAAATACATAAACTTTCTTACCTCATCACATGAACAATAGAAAAAATAGTGGAAATGATGGCTTATCCTATAGGTTTAGTATTTATCGGTTATTGTTTGCTATGTAGGCCCTGGTGAAGTCAGTAGACTTTATAATTGATATAGCATCTGGTGATCACCCTTTTGATCCATACTTTGAACTATTGAAAACTGGTGGAGTTCTGGTCTTATGGTGGGATTCCCCAGTGCAGTCAAAATCAGTCCTGCCAACCTTAATATCGGTACATTGGCATGTTTCAAATGATTGAAATGACAGTTTTATGTATCCAACTGTTATTGCAATTGCAAGTATATATAATGAACTCCATGCATTGACCTTTTGGCAGGTATGAAAACCATTTCTGGTAGTGTAACAGGTGGAACAAAGGATATCCAAGAAATGATAGATTTCTGTGCTGCAAATGGAATTCATCCAATGATTGAAATAATTCCAATTCAATCTGCAAATGAAGCTATTGAGAGGCTACTAAAAAGTGTTGTGATATACCGGTTTGTGATTGATATTGAAAACTCCCTGAAATGACACCATGAAAGAGAACAAGCAGTGGCGGATCCAAGAATTTTCATGGTCCGGGGGGACGGTCAAAAAAAATTAAAAAAAAAAAAATAGTACCCATTGAAATTGAAATGATAGTACTCTAATTCATAGTTAATAGATAAAAACCATACAAAATACTCATGTTCATTACTAAAGAAAACTACATCAACTTCAAAAAAATAGACGCACATTGCAATACACCAAAAATATCTCTAAGAATGTGATAATAAACCAAAAAAATTAGTGCAATCCTCTTCGCCTCCCAAGGCGTCTCGTCCTATTCGACTCCCAAGGCGTCTCATCCTATTCGACATAAAAACTAGCATATATTAGCGCAATCCTGCTCATTTTAAGGTGTTTACGTCATTTTTTAAGGTCCGTTGTAGTTTTGATTTTGGGCTTTATTTGCATTTTTTTTTTGGGGTTCTAGCTCTCAAACTTTGGACCTTTGTGAGTACTGTATTAATGGGAGCTTATCCAAGCAAATATATTTTCAATACGTAAGAGTTAGGTTATTCTTATAAAACTCTTTGTGGATTGAACATCTAAGGTTTTTTTACCTAGATTGACCTTAGGTCCATTCATGCATTCATATCATACATGAAAAATTGTTTTATGTAAAAATATTGGCTAAGTATGAAAAATGGTTTTACAGAATAATCATTTTCTCAAGATAATTTTTGACAGCTTTTATTCCTTACACATCAAATAAGAAAACTTGATTTTACGGGATTTTAGTATGAAGTATATGTTGACTTAATGAGACATCATTTTTAGCCTAAATCGTATTTTGCACTAATACCAATTTTTCATATTTAGGCCCTGGTGAAGTCAGTAGACTTTATAATTGATATAGCATCTGGTGATCACCCTTTTGATCCATACGTAGAACTATTGAAACTGGTGGAGTTCTGGTCTTATGGTGGGATTCCCCAGTGAAGTCAAAATCAGTCCTGCCAACCTTCATATCGGTACATTGGCATGTTTCAAATGATTGAAATGACAGTTTTATATATCCAACTGTTATTGCAATTGCAAGTATATATAATAAACTCCATGCATTGGCCTTTTGGCAGGTATGAAAACCTTTTCTGGTAGTGTAACAGGTGGAACAAAGGATATCCAAGAAATGATAGATTTCTTTGCTTCAAATGGAATTCATCCAATGATTGAAAAATTCCAATTCAATCTGCAAATGAAGCTATTGAGAGGCTACTAAAAAGTGTTGTGATATACCGGTTTGTGATTGATATTGAAAACTCCCTGAAATGACACCATGAAAGAGAACAAGGATTTCTCTTGTTGATTTGTATTAATAAGTTCATATGGATTGGATTGTAGGGCTCAAACCATTATCAATTTGGCAATCATTTATAGTTAGGTGGTGTGCATTTACCTCTGTGAAATTTTATCTGGGATTGATCTTCTGTATAATGTGTAAAAAGAAACTGAACTCTTATGATCATGTCCTTTCTCTAGTGACTGGATTTATGACTGAAATATCATTCTCCAGCACTTTAATGTCTTCAAGTACCCTGTTTCCATTCTCTGTCTGTTCAGCAACAAGAGTGTCTTTCCTTCTTTCCCCACAGCACACAGTAAAGGCCCACAATAATGAGAAACGCTCCGATCAAGCTGCACATCACCACTTACACAAAATCCACATTAAATTTGTGACTAATTTTCATGACAAACAAACTACCGTGATAGAATGGATAAGTGAAACCATCAAATGTGGAAGTAGTAAGATGGAATAGGAAGAAGGTGTCTGTGTTCTTCAGGTTATTACCTGCCAAAGTGAAGTCGTTCTGCGAAAGAAATTGCCGAGAACAATGCCACTATAATGACTTGAAGTGGAATAAACATAGCTGCAAAGACTGGTCCCTTGTAACTGATGCACCATGTTTGCAAGTAGTAGGCTAATGCTGAGATTGCAACTCCCTATTGCAAAAGTAAGGAGTGGATGAAGAACAGAACTTGTGACAGATTCAAATAAATCTTATACCAACAAGGAGAAAAATACCCAATAAGACACAACAAAATAGGATGTCCCATTTATTTACTTTATACACACACACACACAAGACAATGTTCTCTTCTACATGTTCTGCTGTGAGGTTTTTAAATCGAACTACAGATTCAGATAAGAATTTGCATGATCAATTGTTGAAATCAACGTTGTGAACCTAATAATAAGATATGAGAAAGAGAACACTCACGCAGTAGGCGATGGTTGAAAGTTGCAGGTTCCACTCCAGTCTCCATGAAATTGGATTTCTTGCAAAAAACAGATCAAGAAAAGAAGATTGCAACGACGCGAAAAAGCATATCATCGTGGTTAGCATTAATCTTATATATGTCAGAATAAATTACAAATCAATCTTTAGCTAATATATTGCTGATGTTGTGATATCGAGTATGTCAATACTGATTTGGGGGGATCGGCTGATGTCATGGGATTAGCTGTGGTGGTATTCTCTTACCCTCCCTCAAGTGTAATGGAGCAACGCGGAGATTAAGCTTGGATTTAAAAAGAGAAAACCGATCACGACTGAGACCTTTAGTAAATATGTCAGCAAGCTAATGTGAGGAGGGAACATAGGAGGTACGAAGAGCTTTTCGAGCAACTAATTCGCGAACAAAGTGATAGTCAATCTCGATATGCCGAGTGCGAGCATGGAAAATAGGATTGGCAGCCATGTAGAGTGCGGAAAGGTTGTCAACATAGATGCACGGGGCAGAGCGAAGGGGAATGCCAAGTTCACGAAACAAGTAACCAAACCATCGAATTTCAGTAGCACTATGGGCAAGAGCCCTATATTCGGCTTTAGTACTAAAGCGAGAGAATAGTTTTGAGTGGTATGGTCAAACCGCCACGTGCTCAGCGGCGGATCCAGGAATTTTTCAGCAGAGGTGCAATTTTCAAAAGCTAAGAGCTCCAAAAAAAAAAAAAAAAAAAAAAAAAAAAAAAAAAAAAAAAAACTATAAAATTTAAACAATACTAATAAAATAATAAAATCAATATAATACATTAAAAAAATTATAATTACAATTACCCTACAATTGTTGCCGACGAGATTTCATATCTTGAAAACGTCGCATTATATTTATATTACTAATACAAGAAAAAACATCTTTCTCAATGTAAACAACCAAGCTATCACTCAACCATTGATTCCCTATTTTGTTACGCAATGGTGTTTTCACAATATTCATAGCTGAAAAAGCTCTCTCAACTGAAGCTGTTGCAACGGGTAAAACTAAAGCCAATGTAAGAAGTAAATATACATAGTTGTATATTCTACTCCTTCCTGTATTCACCAATTTTTCTGCCAGATCAGTAATTCCTTTCAATGATGAAAACTCAGTGCTGCTCTGCATATCAACAATATAAAGCCCAAGTTGATCTTCAAGCTTCATGAGGTCTCGGTCATTAAATTCTTGAGGGTAAAATTGAGCAAAACGAAGTATTTGTTGTTTGTCAAAAGCTGCAAAATTATAAGCTGGACTCAAACATGCCATACAAAGAAGCAATTCAGTATTTACCTCAGTGAAGCGATTATTCAATTCCACTAGTTTCTTATCAATGATAGTAAGAAATAGGTCCACATGATAATAATGGCGGTTTGTGATTTTCTGAGCTTTACGACGTGATCTCCCTTGTGGTACAAATAAATCATCCATGTTAGGAACATCAATATCATTGTTGCCACAAAATATTGATACTTTGCCAAGCAGATCATCAAAGTCATCATCCCTCATGGATTGTAGCTTTTGCTTACATCTTTGCACCAACATCATTGCATTCACAATATCTTGATCTTTCTTTTGTAATGCCTTTGACAAATCATTTGTGATTCCCAATATAAATCTCATCAAATATAGGTGAAACACAATGTCAAAAGTTTGTATTTCTTTCAATAACCTATTTGCTTCACCTAAATTACCTTGGTTGACATCATCAACAATCCATTCAAGCACCTTCACCACGGGATGAAACATAGTATTAATACTCAGTAAAGTATCATAATGTGAGTTCCAACGTGTATCACAAGGACGTTTGAGAGTAGTCTCTTGATTTAACCCTTGCCCTGTTTCAAGATCATCAATTTCAAGAGCTTTCATAATATCTTTTTGTTGTTGCTCTCTAAGTGCATCACGACGCTTACACGATGCTCCAATAATGTTAACAACACTACTAGCCGTTGTGAAGAAAGTAGCAATGTTTTCATTACCCTTTGCCATGGCTACAAGAGCTAGTTGTAGTTGATGTGCAAAACAATGGACATAATATGCCTGAGGATTTCACAAGAAAACGTCGATTACTCTCCCCCATAAGTGTTTGGGGCATATCGTTTTGGCTTGTAGGCTGACAAGGACCCCTTTGCAGATAGGCTCTTCGGATTTGTTCTCGAAAATTGGGATTATAATAAGTCATTGGAGGTCTAAGGCCAGGGTCTGCAGGAAGATTAGCTAATATTTCATCCAACTCAGTAGGCGGATTATTTGAAGGTTGATTTGAACTAGCCAGATTATTTGAAGGAGGGTTGGAACTAGCCGGATTATTTGAAGGAGGGTTGGAACTAGACAGATGATTCGAAGGAGGATTTGAACTACCCAGATTATTTGAAGGAAGATTTAAACTCTTTTCTCTGAAAGTACTGTTCCATAACTGTACAATTGAAACAAAATAAGGGTTTTATATCTATTATTATGACTAATTGACTATAATTTATCAAATAAATAATTATCAAATTATCAAATAAATAAATAAATAAATATTAATTATACCTCGAATAACGTGTCACGTAGCCTATTTCTCCTCGAGTTTGCTACTGATCTTACTAATATAGAGAGAGTTAAATAAGAAAAAAAAATTATTAAAAAAAGAATAAACAAAATTGGTGTTTGCTCAAGAAAAAAAAAAGCATTCGACTTACTTTGGATTGGCGTACTCAAGAAGAAGAAAAAAATGCAGGATTCTTAGGATGCACACACACTTTGATGAAATTGGGTGATGCTATTGATCTTTTATAAAGCGAATTCTCAATTCTACTTAATTAAGGAATTCTCAACTCTATTTAATTAAGGAATTCTCAAAACCCAATTGAATAAAGAGAACTTTTAATTAAAACCCAATTAAGTAAGGAAATAGAAGCCCTTTTTCAAAAGCCCACAAAAAGCCCACGTCAGTTTCCCTTTTTTTCTTTTTCTTTTTAATTTCAAAACCCTGGTCCAAAACGACGTCGTTTTGGCCAGGTTTTTCAACAAAAAAAAAAAAAAAAAAAAAAAAAAAAGCGCATATTAAACAGCCTGGTCCAAAACGACGTCATTTTGGCCAGGCTTCGTTAAAAAAAAACAGGAGCCCTCGCGTACGCGCTGCACGCAGCACCAGTAGGCAGCAGCTCCCCAGCCCAGTGGTTTGCGCATTTCATCGAGCACATTGTGTGCATCGCTGGTCTGAAGCAAAGGTGCAACTCCAGCGTCTGTAATGGCTATTTCCGGCTACCGGAGGTGCAGGCGCACCGCCTTGCGCCTGCACAGATACGTGCTATATATTATCTCATGGAACTAGCTAGGGAATAGTTTTTATTGATAATAATACATGCATTAATTATAAGTAAATTTGTAACATCACATGACAGTCTTGCTATGATTTTTTGGAGATTGAATATAGTAAAGATATCTTGTGTACATTTTCATGCATGTAAACTAATTATATTATTATTTTAAACGTTATCAGGCAAGCAATATAATCATCCATGGCCTTCGAATCCATCATTGCCGACCCCAACCACCAAGCTCAGTTATGGGTCCAGAAGGAAAGATAATACCAATAGGGCAGGTTGATGGAGATGCAATAAGGTTGGTAACAGCATAAGGTTTGGATAGACCACAATACACTTTACGAGTGCCAGGACGGTCTTCTCGATGTTACTCGCGGATCTACCCATATCACCATCTCCAACAATTGGTTCAGAGACCAGGACAAGGTTATGCTTCTTGGCCAGGATGATGGCTACTTTCGGGACAAGAACATGAGGGTGACCGTTGTGTACAACCATTTTGGACCCAACTGCAACCAAAGAATGCCAAGGTAAAGGCCCCTGGGCTAGCTATGTCCATATATTAATTGAGATCGCTGGCTACCTTCACTTTCAACTCCTCTATTTATTAATATTAGCAAAGTGTGTAGGTAATATAAGTGTGGGACATTTTCACCTTCGTATTCTCAACAGAGAGTGAGTATTATATTACTTACTATTGCATGCATGCAGGATTCGCTATGGATATGCACATGTCGTGAATAATCTTTACAGAGAATGGTCGCAGTATGCCATTGGGGGAAGCATGAACCCTAGTGTTAAGAGTGAAGCCAACCTCTTCATTGCACCAAAATCGGGAAACAAGAAAGAGGTAATTATTAACTCAAATGTATATATATTCAAGTTCAAATGCAATGCCCTTAATTAATTACTTAATGATTTTCCATGTACGCACAGATCACTTGGAGGAAGGACAGCATTGGAGACAAAGAATCCTGGAAGTTTTGCTCTGTAGGAGATATCTTCGAAAATGGGGCTTCTTTCGTCGAAACAGGTGCCGGAAGAGCAAAGCCAAACTATAACGGAGAACAAACTTTCCCAGTTGTTAATGCCAAATATGTCCGCTCATTGACAAGGTCATTTGGTGTTTTGATATGCATCAAAAGATCCAGATGCTAATTAATTACGGCGTAGGCTCATGCGATGCAATGTGGAGATGATATAATTGCATGTCATATATATATATACATGCATAGGAAAATCAATTGTATGTCAGCTGAAAAAAGGTGAACAATTGTATAGTGGATATATATATCTCATCTCCCTCCTATAGTAATGCAAGATATATATATATATATAATCGATTATATATAATGCCATTGTTCACCTTTTTTATGATTATATATATATAATGCCATTACCCAAGACTATACTTATTTTACGATTTATTTTTATTAGTGATCAGGACTGGCACTGAAAATGGTCATAAGAACAGTTGATGTAAAAGATTTCAGTTTTATAATGATGCAGAAGACCAAATCCCAGATGCAATTCCACAAGGGTAAATGACCTAGGCCATTTTTTCTCATAAATAAAATTCATTTTTTATTATCGCGCAATGGGCTAATAGCCGGAAATTATTAGAATGGGAGGTATCGGAAAGAATTTAAATTCTCATTCCCCAACATCACTTGTATAAATAAAATAATTGAAGAAATAACTCTAGCCCAATAGCTGAATTGGTATTTTAGCTCTAAACCGTAATATGACAAAATTGTATATTTAAAGTGTATAGCCGTTCGGCTATACTATCAAATGTTGTTCGGCAATTGAAATCTCCACTGTGATAATCGTATTCCATTTAAACAAACAAAAAAAAATTGCAAAATCAGAAACATACGTAAATTGCACGCCATGGCAGCCACGGATAGAGACTCGAACTCGTAGTTAGGCGGTCTGGGCGGAGCTAGGCGGCCCCTAGGCGGTCTGGGCGGAGCTAGGCGGCCCCTAGGCGGTCTGGGCGGATCTAGGCGGCCCCTAGGCGGTCTGGGCGGATCTAGGCGGCCCCTAGGCGGTTTGGGCGGAGCTAGGCGGCCCCTAGGCGGTATGGGAGGATCTAGGCGGCCCTAGGCGGTGTAGGCGGCCGCTAGGCGGTCTGGGCGGATCTAGGCGGCCTGCGCAGGTCTAGGCGGGTCTGCGTTGGTGTTGAGGTCTGCTGCTCTCATAAACCAGAAGTGCCATGTGAAGAACAAGGATATTAGGAAGTTTCTTGATGGGATTTTTGTGAGTGAGAAGAAGAGTGCTTTTTCTGATTTTGATTTTGAGTTTTTCATCTGTACTCTTCTTCTTTTTTTAAATCTTGCATGGAAATTTTGATGAGTAAGTTTTACTATATTTTGGGTTTCTGTTGCCAAACATAAATTGTGGAATTCTGGGATTCTTTTATGCAGGTTATTGATTTTTAAAGTGAGAAATGTGATGGCCAATCTTTCATTTGCACAATCTTCAGTTTTTAAATGTTTGTCTTTGAGCCAAAATGGGGAAGAACACTTAAAATAATTTCCACTAATAAAAATGCCCCAAAAATGGTTCTTTATAGTTGCACCATCAAGTAAGTTAAACCCTGGAAAAACGTAAGGTGTCATGCCTTTTTGGAATTGCTAAACTGATTGTGAATTCCGCTAAAAAACCAACCCATTAAAACTTGATTCAGTGATCCCAATTAGTCCAAGAAAGTTTCATATCCGTATAAATGGAGGGTTGCTCTTATTACTTGGCAATGGTACTGGTTCAGCTCATATATGGTGGATCAAACATCCTCAGAAAATTCTCCCTTGCAGAAGGACTCAATCCAATTGTCTTCGTCGTTTACCGCGCATGTTATGGCCATGGTTTTGGTAGGACCATTTGCTTATGTACTTGAAAGGTAAGCTATTGATTCTTGCATCACTTCATATTTCCAGGCAGTAAAAACAGAGAAAACTAATTCTTGAATGGATTTGTAAAGGAGGAAACAAAGGCCTTCACTCTCATTTTCTGTAGCTGCCAAAATTTTTGTGCTTGCCTTGTTTGGAACCACCATCTATCTGAATGTGTACTATGCTGGTTTAGCATACACTTCTCCAACAGTTGCATGTGCCTTGAGTAATGTTATTCCCAGCTTGACATTTCTAATGGCAGTTCTACTTGGGTATATTCTCTGTCCTTTCCTTTCCCTTGCTTAATTAGAAAGGGGAATATAAATGTTCTTTTTTCCTGTTCTGCAATTTGCTTGTTCTTACACAGGTTGGAGAAGTTGAAGATTAGAACTGCTAGAGGTCAAGCTAAGGTGGCTGGCACACTTTTCTGCATTGGTGGTTCTCTTGTTTTCACTTTCTGGAAAGGAGGATACCTATTTAAAGGTTTCGTAAATATATCTGTTGGTGAGATGAGGCATGTGAAGGAAAACTGGATCAAGGGGCTTTTCTTATTCTGACGAGTCACATTGCATGGAGTGCATGGCTAATCGTCCAGGTGATTTTATAATTGAATTAAGATGACACCCTTTTATGTCACGTAATGGCCAAGTTTAGTTCTTTGTCCAACTTTGGCTCTCTGGTCTCACAGGCTGTGGTCTCCAAAGTCTACACTGCTCGATTATCGCTAACCACGATGATATGCTTTTTCGCGTCGTTGCAATCTTCTTTTCTTGATCTGTTTTTTGCAAGAAATCCAATTTCATGGAGACTGGAGTGGAACCTGCAACTTTCAACCATCGCCTATTGCGTGAGTGTTCTCTTTCTCATATCTTATTATTAGGTTCACAACGTTGATTTCAACAATTGATCATGCAAATTCTTATCTGAATCTGTAGTTCGATTTAAAAACCTCACAGCAGAACATGTAGAAGAGAACATTGTCTTGTGTGTGTGTGTGTGTAAAGTAAATAAATGGGACATCCTATTTTGTTATGTCTTATTGGGTAGTTTTTCTCCTTGTTGGTATAAGATTTATTTGAATCTGTCACAAGTTCTGTTCTTCATCCACTCCTTACTTTTGCAATAGGGAGTTGCATTCTCAGCATTAGCCTGCTACCTGCAAACATGGTGCATCAGTTACAAGGGACCAGTCTTTGCAGCTATGTTTATTCCACTTCAAGTCATTATAGTGGCATTGTTCTCGGCAATTTATTTCGCAGAATGACTTCACTTTGGCAGGTAATAACCTGAAGAACACAGACACCTTCTTCCTATTCCATCTTACAACTTCCACATTTGATGGTTTCACTTATCCATTCTATCACGGTAGTTTGTTTGTCATGAAAATTAGTCACAAATTTAATGTGGATTTTGTGTAAGTGGTGATGTGCAGCTTGATCGGAGCGTTTCTCATTATTGTGGGCCTTTACTGTGTGCTGTGGGGAAAGAAGGAAAGACACTCTTGTTGCTGAACAGACAGAGAATGGAAACAGGGTACTTGAAGACATTAAAGTGCTGGAGAATGATATTTCAGTCATAAATCCAGTCACTAGAGAAAGGACATGATCATAAGAGTTCAGTTTCTTTTTACACATTATACAGAAGATCAATCCCAGATAAAATTTCACAGAGGTAAATGCACACCACCTAACTATAAATGATTGCCAAATTGATAATGGTTTGAGCCCTACAATCCAATCCATATGAACTTATTAATACAAATCAACAAGAGAAATCCTTGTTCTCTTTCATGGTGTCATTTCAGGGAGTTTTCAATATCAATCACAAACCGGTATATCACAACACTTTTTAGTAGCCTCTCAATAGCTTCATTTGCAGATTGAATTGGAATTTTTCAATCATTGGATGAATTCCATTTGAAGCAAAGAAATCTATCATTTCTTGGATATCCTTTGTTCCACCTGTTACACTACCAGAAAAGGTTTTCATACCTGCCAAAAGGCCAATGCATGGAGTTCATTATATATACTTGCAATTGCAATACCAGTTGGATATATAAAACTGTCATTTCAATCATTTGAAACATGCCAGTGTACCGATATGAAGGTTGGCAGGACTGATTTTGACTTCACTGGGGAATCCCACCATAAGACCAGAACTCCACCAGTTTCAATAGTTCTGCGTATGGATCAAAAGGGTGATCACCAGATGCTATATCAATTATAAAGTCTACTGACTTCACCAGGGCCTAAATATGAAAATTCGGTATTAGTGCAAAATACGATTTAGGCTAAAAATGATGTCTCATTAAGTCAACATATACTTCATACTAAAATCCCGTAAAATCAAGTTTTCTTATTTGATGTGTAAGGAATAAAAGCTGTCAAAAATTATCTTGAGAAAATGATTATTCTGTAAAACCATTTTTCATACTTAGCCATATTTTTACATAAAACAATTTTTCATGTATGATATGAATACATGAATGGACCTAAGGTCAATCTAGGTAAAAAACCTTAGATGTTCAATCCACAAAGAGTTTTATAAGAATAACTTAACTCTTACGTATTGAAAAATATATTTGCTTGAATAAGCTCCCCTTAATACAGTACTCACAAAGGTCCAAAGTTTGAGAGCTAGAACCCGAAAAAAAAAATGCAAATAAAGCCCAAAATCAAAACTACAACGGACCTAAAAAAATGACGTAAACACCTTAAAATGAGCAGGATTGCGCTAATATATGCTAGTTTTTATGTCGAATAGCATGAGACGCCTTGGGAGTCGAATAGGACGAGACGCCTTGGGAGGCGAAGAGGATTGCACTAATTTTTTTGGTTTATTATCACATTCTTAGAGATATTTCTGGTGTATTGCAATGTGCGTCTATTTTTTTGAAGTTGATGTAGTTTTCTTTAGTAATGAACATGAGTATTTTGTATGGTTTTTATCTATTAACTATGAATTAGAGTACTATCATTTCATTTCAATGGGTCTATTTGGTACAATTTTTTTTAACCTCTTACACGTTGACCCCCGGAATGAAAATTCTTGGATCCGCCACTGCTTGTTCTCTTTCATGGTGTCATTTCAGGGAGTTTTCAATATCAATCACAAACCGGTATATCACAACACTTTTTAGTAGCCTCTCAATAGCTTCATTTGCAGATTGAATTGGAATTATTTCAATCATTGGATGAATTCCATTTGCAGCACAGAAATCTATCATTTCTTGGATATCCTTTGTTCCACCTGTTACACTACCAGAAATGGTTTTCATACCTGCCAAAAGGTCAATGCATGGAGTTCATTATATATACTTGCAATTGCAATAACAGTTGGATACATAAAACTGTCATTTCAATCATTTGAAACATGCCAATGTACCGATATTAAGGTTGGCAGGACTGATTTTGACTGCACTGGGGAATCCCACCATAAGACCAGAACTCCACCAGTTTTCAATAGTTCAACGTATGGATCAAAAGGGTGATCACCAGATGCTATATCAATTATAAAGTCTACTGACTTCACCAGGGCCTACATAGCAAACAATAACCGATAAATACTAAACCTATAGGATAAGCCATCATTTCCACTATTTTTTCTATTGTTCATGTGATGAGGTAAGAAAGTTTATGTATTTTTACCTTCATCTGATTTCTGTCAGATGAGACCACAAAGTTATCTGCACCCAGCTGACTTAAAGCTTCCTCTTTCTTGGATATGCTAGTGCTGAAAATTGTTACATTCAAACCAAATGCCTTTTGCCAAATTTCACTGCCATGTGACCTAGGCCACCAAGGCCAATCACCCTAGAATTTACCATGTTGGTTCATCTTGTGGCGTACCATCGAAGCATAAACAGTAATTCCAGCACAAAGTAGAGGAGCTGCCGAAGCCAATGGATAGTTTTCTGGTATGTTGAAGCAGTACCTGTAATACAGGCCATTTAGATGTGAAATTTGAGGAGAGGGCAAAAAGGTAGTTCAATTCATACCCTTCATGGACAACTATATGACTGGAGTATCCTCCTTTTGCGATTGTACCATCAACACCAACACCATTAAATCTGTCGTTGCAGTACTCACAATCTCTGCATGAGTTGACATGAGTTCCCACTCCCATATGGTCACCAACTTTGAAGCGCTGAACATTGGAACCCACCTCTTTTACAATGCCTGCAATCTCATGCCTGGTTCCAAATAATCACAAACAGAACAGATGACTTTAATTAGAAGGAGAATAACTTCAGGGTTGCTTAATTCATCTGTTATAGAATCAGTCCACATACCCAGGGACAACAGGATACTTTTGAGTCTCCATGTTGTTTTCTGGTCCAAATTACATCAGCATAGCAAACTCTTGGACTGATTTAAAATCGGGATCACTGCTTCAAGTTTTAATGGGTTGGGTTTTTAGTGGACTTCACAATCAGTTTACCAATTCTAAAAAGGCATGACACCTTACTTTTTCCAGGGTTTAACCTACTTGATGGTGCAACTATAAAGAACCATTTTTGGGGCATTTTTATTAGTGGAAATTATTTTTAGTGTAAGTGAGGTGTTCTTCCAGATCTTGGCTCAAAGACAAACATTTAAAAACTGAAGATTGTGCAAATGAAAGGTTTGCCATCACATTTCTCACTTTAAAAACCAATAACCTGCATAAAATAATCCCGGAATTCCACAATTTATGTTTGGCAATAGAAACCCAAAATATAGTAACACTTGCTCATCAAAATTTCCATCCAAGATTAAAAAAACAGAGTAAAGATGAAAAACTCAAAATCAGAAAAAACACTCTAACAAGCACAAATCCCAAAAATCTAATCACTCTGACGAGAGTCAATCAGCCCAAATCACAACCTCACATCTCTCCCCCGGCTACTATGATTGCTCAATCCTCTGCAAATCAGGATTCATGATGTCGTGCCACAATCTCTCCCTCAATATTAGTATTAGTTTAAATCTATGATTGTGTAAATCTTGAATTACCTTATTAACCTTAGCTTTCCATATATACTTAGGCCAACGTCAACTGTAATATCATATAAAGATGAATGAATACAGGCATCACAATTAGTGAGCCATTCCCTAATTTTCTATTCCTTCCTAAATTTCTACACACTCCTCTTCAGCTATCGTCCTCTTCTCACTCACAAAAATCCCATCAAGAAACTTCCTAATATCCTTGTTCTTCACATGGCACTTCTGGTTTATGAGAGCAGCATACCTCAACACCAACGCAGACCCGCCTAGACCTGCGCAGGCCGCCTAGATCCGCCCAGACCGCCTAGCGGCCGCCTAGATCAGCCCAGACCGCCTAGCGGCCGCCTAGCTCCGCCCAGACCGCCTAGGGGCCGCCTAGATCCTCCCATACCGCCTAGGGGCCGCCTAGCTCCGCCCAAACCGCCTAGGGGCCGCCTAGATCCGCCCAGACCGCCTAGGGGCCGCCTAGCTCCGCCCAGACCGCCTAACTACGAGTTTGAGTCTCTATCCGTGGCTGCCATGGCGTGCAATTTACGTATGTTTCTGATTTTGCAATTTTTTTTTTGTTTGTTTAAATGGAAGAACGATTATCACAGAGTTTCTTCTAAGGATTTTAAGATTTTATAGCATTAGAGTTGTTATCATAGTGGAGATTTCAATAGTTGAATGACATTTGATAGTATAGCCGAACGGCTATACTCTTTAAATATACAATTGTGTCATATTATTTTAGGGTTGAGGGCTAAAATACCACTTTAGCTAATTGGGCTAGAGTTATTTCTTCAATTATTTTATTTATACAACCGATATTTGGGGAATGAGAATTTAAATTCTTTCCGATACCTCCCATTCTAATGATTTCCGGCTATTAGTCCCTTGTGCAAACGGATTTTATTTATGAGAAATAATACCGGTTTAACCCATAAATACAACAACCAAAATAGGGATCCACCAACGTCTTGTGAATCAAAGAATGTTGAATTTCATAGTATAAAATTGTTTGTATAAGAATTTACCTTCTACAATGTATCCATCGTAATTATGAATTGAACCCAATTACAACTTTTTTCTCATTGCACTTGACAATCCTGCTCCTACTTTGAGATACATCAGTATATTCTCTGCATATGAAAAATTGGATACAAAACATTCTAATGAGACAACGAAGAGGAGTTTTGAAATAAATTGAAGTTATCAAAGGTCATATGGCATTGATATATATATATACGAACTATTCTAAATGAGATTTCAAACAACGTGTTAGATGAGAAGAAGCATCTCATTAAATATACTTTTTTTTTTTTTTTTTTTTTTTTTTTTTTTTTTTTTTTTTTTTTTTTTTTTTTTTTTTTTTTTTTTTTTTTTTTTTTTTTTTTTTTTTTTTTTTTTTTTTTTTTTTTTTTTTTTTTTTTTTTTTTTTTTTTTTTTTTTTTTTTTTTTTTTTTTTTTTTTTTTTTTTTTTTTTTTTTTTTTTTTTTTTTTTTTTTTTTTTTTTTTTTTTTTTTTTTTTTTTTTTTTTTTTTTTTTTTTTTTTTTTTTTTTTTTTTTTTTTTTTTTTTTTTTTTTTTTTTTTTTTTTTTTTTTTTTTTTTTTTTTTTTTTTTTTTTTTTTTTTTTTTTTTTTTTTTTTTTTTTTTTTTTTTTTTTTTTTTTTTTTTTTTTTTTTTTTTTTTTTTTTTTTAAAAATTAGTCACAAATTTAATGTGGATTTTGTGTAAGTGGTGGTGTGCAGCTTGATCGGAGCGTTTCTCATTATCGTGGGCCTTTACTGTGTGCTGTGGGGAAAGAAGGAAAGACAATCTTGTTGCTGAACAGACAGAGAATGGAAAAGGGGTACTTGAAGACATTAAAGTTCTGGAGAATGATATTTCAGTCATAAATCCAGTCACTAGAGAAAGGACATGATCATAAGAGTTCAGTTTCTTTTTACACATTATACAAAAGATCAATCCCGGATAAAATTTCACAGAGGTAAATGCACACCTCCTAATTATAAATGATTGCCAAATTGATAATGGTTTGAGCCCTACAATTCAATCCATATGAACTTATTAATACAAATAAACAAGAGAAATCCTAGTTCTCTTTCATGGTGTCATTTCAGGGAGTTTTCAATATCAATCACAAACCGGTATATCACAACACTTTCTAGTAGCCTCTCAATAGCTTCATTTGCATATTGAATTGGAATTATTTCAATCATTGGATGAATTCCATTTGAAGCAAAGAAATCTATCATTTCTTGGATATCCTTTGTTCCACCTGTTACACTACAGAAAAGGTTTTCATACCTGCCAAAAGGCCAATGCATGGAGTTCATAATATATATTTGCAATTGCAATAACAGTTGGATATATAAAACTGTCATTTCAATCATTTGAAACATGCCAATGTACGGATATGAAGGTTGGCAGGACTGATTTTGACTTCACTGGGGAATCCCACCATAAGACCAGAACTCCACCAGTTTCAATAGTTCCACGTATGGATCAAAAGGGTGATCACCAGATGCTATATCAATTATAAAGTCTACTGACTTCACCAGGGCCTACATAGCAAACAATAACCGATAAATACTAAACCTATAGGATGAGCCATCATTTCCACTATTTTTTCTATTGTTCGTGTGATGAGGTAAGAAACTATATGTATTTTTACCTTCATCTGATTTCTGTCAGATGAGACAACAAAGTTATCTGCACCCAGCTGACTTAAAGTTTCCTCTTTCTTGGATATGCTAGTGCTGAAAATTGTTACATTCAAACCAAATGCCTTGCCAAACTTCACTCCCATGTGACCTAGGCCACCAAGGCCAATCACCCCTAGAGATTTACCAGGTTGGTTCATCTTATGGCGTACCATCGAAGCATAAACAGTAATTCCAGCACAAAGTAGAGGGGCTGCCGAATCCAATGGATAGTTTGCCGGTATTAATGTATGATTGGATGCAGCTTGCTTCTTTATCAAACCAGCGTCCTCATCATGAAAGGTTGGATCTCCTACTCTTGCGAGATACAAGAGAGGTATTGCACTTTTCTCCCCTTTTAACATTGGGAATTTCAGGTGCACGTGGATATGGTATATGTAAGAATGCGATGCTACTTCTCATCTAACACGTTGTTTGAAATCTCATTTAGAATAGTTTGTATATATATATATATATATATATCAACGCCATATGACCTCTGATACCTTCAATTTATTTCAAAACTCTTCTCTTCGTTGTCTCATTAAAATGTTTTGTATCCAATTTTTCATGTGTAGAGATTATATTGATGCATCTCAAAGCAGAAGAGTTGGTTGTCAAGTGCAATGAGAAAAATTTTGTCATTTGGTTTAGTTTATAGTAAATTTGGCTTACACCCTTCAAATTCAATTTGCCGTACCTAAAACCCTTCACTTTTTGTTCCTAGAAATAATACCCAATTTGTATAAGTAAAAACCCATGACTAGGATCTAACTCAGCAAGTTACCTAATTAAGCATAAAATCTGATTTATTGTACTTTTCATATTCCAAAAATACCCCCAACTAAGCCATTATTGCATTTTGTATATTAATGTAGGAATCAATATGGAAATAGTTTTTAATTGGATTGTATATAATGACAGATGTTGAATTTGGAAAGATCTCCAAATGGTTGTAATGGATGTAAGAATTAATTTTGAAACATTTTAAAAAAAATTTAACAATAAATTCAAATTTGGGTAATCAGTTTGTTTAATAAAATGTTTATGTTATTTTCTTTTTATGAATTATACATGACTAATAATCCACTTTATAATTGTTTATGAATAAAACTATACATACTGATTATGTTGAAAAAATAATGTACCTATTAGTTTTATTAAAAACAATTTTTTTAAATGAACCTATTTTCTCTCTCCAAATAACGTACCTATTTTTCCTCTCCAAATAATGTACCTATACACATTTACAGGTATATTGTAAAATAATTTACATGTGGGTAAATAATGTACCTATATTTAATATAAATTATTGTGTACCTATTTTTAATTATGAAAAATATATGCAATTACAAAGTAACTGACTTTTTTTTTTTTTTGGTAAATAATATACCTATATTTTATATGTATATATTATATTATATTTTTCATAGGTACATTATTGGATATGTAATTTACAGATTTTTTTTGTTTGTTTGCAATTTTAGTGGGCGAGATGTGAGAGGGAATGACAACTAAAAGAAATGGGGTGATTGATATGCTATTAATAGGGAGTATATTAATTACAATTATGGCAGTTAATGAAATGCTTGAAATAAAATTATAAATAAAATATGAAGTTTAGTGGCAACGATGTAAAAACATAGAAAT